GTGTGGAGGTATAGGAGACGCTGGCGGGTAGGAACGAGACGGGCGGGGTAGAGGTGGTGGTGGTGGGGTACTAATCGGGGAGGGAAGGAGGGATGGATGTAGGAGGAGGAGGAGGAAGGGAGGGTTGATAAAGCCTGATCTGTGCCACGGGGCATTTATGGCTGTTGGGGAGGCAGGGAGAGGGGGGGAGAACGGGTGGGAGGAGGCATTGTCTGCTGTGTCCGCGCGTTTATAGGATTGAGCTCAAGTTTCCTTTGTGTTTCCATTTTGTTGAGGGATTATGTTCTTTGAGAGAGTTGTGCAAGCAGGCAGGCACACAGAGTGGAGGCGGAGAGAGAGAGAGAGAGAGAGAGAGAGAAGATGGGTGAGAGGGGGGGGAGGCACGAGGAGGGAGGGAGGATGTCTTTGTTCTGAGCGTTGATCATGAACAAGACAGATAGCAGAGGGTGTGTGTGTACAAGTGTATCTGTGTGTTTTTAATGCCTGTGTGTGTGTGTGTGTTTGAGCGTGTGTGTCGGAGAGCAAAGCAAGATGTCAGGACACGTAACCAGCCATGTAACAATTTAAAATCAATTTGCCTCCCAAGAAGGAATTGCTCTGCGAGACGTTTTTTTCTTCTTCTTCTTTTTTCCCCCAGCGAGCCGTTTACAGGACTTTCATTCTATCTCAATAGATATCAGTTACATAATCGCTCCTCTCCTCTCCGCCCGGCCGCAGACTGGAAAGTTTGTCACGCCGAGCTGAAAGGTAATTGCCCCCCCCCCCCTCGCATAATGTTTTGTGATTGCTCGTGACATTTGCAGTGTCATTGATCAAACAGGGCAGAGTTGTAATGAAGACGCAGAACAGTGCGACTGGAATGGAGGCGAGGGGGGTGGGGTGGGGGGCGGAGGTCGGACGTGTCGTTGTATTTCCTGCTAACTGTCGACTGAAGCAACACGTTTCATGTTGGAAACCGCCCTCCTTTCCCTTTTAAAAAGTCACATCTAAAACAGTTCCCCCTCGTTAATCGATGGGTGACGGATGAGAGTCTGCGCCTCTCCACCAACATTCAGAGAGGAAAAAGGAAAAGTAACTGGAAGTGTTGACTGGTGATAATCTGAGCCGCTGAAAGTTTTCCAACTCCTCTCATTTACAAAAACAGAAAAGCTGCCCTGGTGTCTTTACCTTGTTCCAAACCCCACCGGGTAACCGCGCACCCATTGTGTTCTCCCCAACTTGTTAAAACACCACATGGTACATTTGCATAGGATAACCAACATATAGCGAATCATTTGCATGCCTGAAAGTGCACTTGAGTAACTGTAATTACACGTGACACCAATTACTCTGTTACTTTGTATTAAATTATAATGGAAAATTCCACTAGAGAATTGGAGCCTAATTGCATCTTAATTTGCATAATTTTGCATATTAATCACATCACAGATGAATAATAAATTTTAGCAGATTTTTTAATTTATGCATAGATCCAAAAACAAAGTTGAAAAATAATTTGTGAGTGAAAAAAAAAGCACCAGGACCTATTACTTACAGCATTTGTGCTAATTTCTCTCATTACCCCACGCTGGAGTCAAAGATATCTGTACTCTTGATCAACAATCACATTTTGAAATGGAGAGTTAGTAAAAAGCTTCAGCAGAAGAAAAAAGAAAAGACACGGAGGACCACAAATTTTGGAGATATCCACGCATCAATTTTTACATAAACTTTGTGGCTCTATTTAAAGCTCCTTTCCATGGCAGAGAAGCCAAATGCATTCTACAATGATAATTCTGATCACTTTCTGCTTTTCCCTTTTTCTCTCCTCTTTGTTTTTTTTTTTTTTTGGTCGACACCTGTGCTGCTATTGTGTGTGGCTCCCTGCCAGCAGACACAAAAATCCAATACCTGTAGCCCAGATTAAATTCAAATTTACAAAAACAACAAAAAAAATTTAAAGATATTTTCCAGCGGAAAATTGAGCAAGTTATTCTAATAAACCTGATAATGAAGAAAGGAAAAAAAACAACTAAAATCTGCTCTTTTGAGTCCATTATCGCTTCACTGTGGAACATTTTGAATAATCTGTTCAGTTGGAATCAGAACAGAGAAGACATAAAATACATGAATCAGTTTTATATTACGTATATGTATCAGTGCCACGATGTTTCTGAACCGTTTGTGGCTTCTTCTCACCCTTAAAACACAGAACAGACGTCTACTCGTGGCCCTCTGTGACACACAGGTGGCACCCCTTTGTTGCGCAAGACTGTTATTTCTTCTCTGATTACATTTTCTGAGAAAACGTTCACAAAAATGTACATGAAAAAAACAAAGATACGGAGGAAATTGTGAAAGAAAATAATAAAACGGTCCAAAATCACTCCCTCGACACTCGACAGTTTACTTTACAGCGAGCAGTAAATTGAGATTTTGGACACTGGCAGCTTTATTTTACTGCCTTTATTTCTCACTTAGAATAAGGACACAGTAAATAATGTGCACCGCAGTAAATAAGGAGTTATTTCTTTAGTTTGAAACGTGTTTCTACTTTCTCATCTTCTGTCTCCAGACCCACAGATTTAGTTTGCGACCCCTTTTTAAGGGTCCAAGCCCGGCCTGTTTAATCTGATATTACCACATGAACGCCAAAGTTGCAACATCATATGCTGTGTAATCATTTCCATGCATCCAAATCCTGTTTTCAGATGTATTTTAAAGCTGTATTTTTTGTCCAGAAAGCAGCATGTCTTATTGATGAAGTTACCTCATGATTATTGATAGACCAGGCCTCAAGTTTAACCAGTCGCCTGCCTTTAAACACTCTGGAGGATCAACGCGACGTCTTCGTGGTGTTCCCGAGGAGTTCAGCCGTGGACAACAGTGCCTTTCAGTGGCTCAACGGAGGAAAGAGCTCAGTGGAGACGCAGAGGCATCTCCACGACACTGAAACACGTCTGTAGGATGCTCTCAGCAGGAGTGTCCCGGTAAACCGTCACGGCCTGAAGCGTTGACGTTACAACCCGAGTAGGAAACCTGTCTCAAGGCCGAAGAGTCATGAATCCAATTCCCCCATTGCAACCCTCCAACAATCTGCAAATGTCATTAATTCAATTATTATATTATGTTAATGTTATCTTTAAATGATGGTCTAACTGCTACCACATGGCCAGGAATATAGATTCTGGGGGAAAATACTCCATGCCTTCATTTTATTTTTAATTGAATCTGTGTTTTTCATAAATAGGCTACAGCCACATGTAAATATATTAACACTGAGGAATAACAGAATCATTTCCAAGTCTATACCTGTAGAGTGTAAATGTAAACTTCCCAGAAGGCACAGTGGTCATGACCTCGGCGCCCGTACAGCGGCACCTCTAGCAGTGATTGAACTGGCAGGCTGGTTCTCAACTGGTGTTAAGAGGCAGTTTTAACTGGTGTTTGTGGTTTGTATTTTACAGTTTGATAGCAGATTCAAACTTGATTCATTAGCCACGGGAAACAGAAATTAAACCTCTCAAACAGTTTCTTTTTTCCTTCTGGAGTTTGAAGATGAATGCAGATGTGTCTGTTGTGTTTGTGACAGTTGACGATTTCATTTCAGGAGACAGACCAAGTGTTAATTATTCCAGGAGGGAAACGTGTCAAGCGGCTCATGTGGTCTGACTACATTTAAGTGTTTCTCTCTCCTAGTTGTCTTTTTCTTTCTCTCAGTGCTGTTGTCTTCCCTCCTACCTTCCCTCCTTCTTTAATTCTCTCTCCTCTTCCTCCTCCTACTCACTCTATTCTGGGCTTGATTATTGTGGCGTAAACAGCAGCCTGAACTCAAACTCTTCTTCACTTGTGTATTTATCTGCAGATTCCCCAACAAATGATTCTCTCTTCAGTGCGGAAGTCGTTAATATGCTGCTCCATTCGACGAGCAGATGTAAAAAGCATCAGGATTACTGTGACACGTCGCCGCAAAAGGTTTCCGTGTCTGAGCGTGATTTCAAATAACCAAGTGCCGCGCTGCTAATTATTGATAAATACAATTAGTTTGGGAGAACTTCAGGTGGGCGGGGCCGCGCGCAGGTGTCTGCCCGCGTGTGTGCGAGCGCGCGCTGAAGAGGGGGGAGAAAACGGCGCTGACCTGTAATCACCGAGAACAGCGGGGACTTAATGATGTTTTGGTCTGCTGATCAAATTTCACATTTCCGCACAATCATTTTGGGGCACCTGCGCAGAAAAACAAAGACTGGGCGGAAACTGCTGGCCCGAAGGAATAACTTGTTCTGTGTGTGTGTGTGTGTGTGTGTGTGTGTGCAGACATCACTGGCTTTTGTTGTGATAATAATACATGCACGCACAGACACACAAAGTTTGTTTTCTAGTTTCCTCTATACTTTGTAACACACACACACGACGTGAGGCGGATAAATGGATATGTATCTCCCTCTACTGGGAAAAGTGTGTACAGCAACGTTGCTGCCTTTAAGTGCTGCCTGTAAATTTTAAACTTACTCAATCATGAAGAGAGACTATCAGCACAAATACTGACCTATGAGACCTTTGTTTAATGTATGCAGCAGAATGAATGGAAGGAGATTGAACTGCTGAATTGTGGACATAAATAATCTGTGGAAATGTAGTTATATAAAAATATATTTTACACATCACATGTTGTAGAGAATCAGTCATCCTGTTACAACTGACAGACTATACTATACATACTATACTAATCTGTTTGTACTTACAAATAGTGTTGCATGTAGAATTAGCAACAATCTGTTAATTCAAAACGATATTATATATTCATAAAAACCTAATACAAATATTCAAAAATATACTCAAGATTGAATCATAAAAAATAGCACCAGAAAAAGAGCCAAAGACAGAAACAACCTCCAGAAGTGGAGAAAGAAAAGTGGATTGTTTCTGAATTTCCAACAGCACCTGAAGGCAGCAGTCATGTGTGTTTACGTCGGAGTCGCGATAAGGATTATGGGTACAGCATGGGGTGAGTTGCGTAAGGTTACCAAAGGCAACGGTGAAGATGGAGGCTCCAGCCCCGGTTCGTGGATCAAACGCCGCCGGTAACGCTGCGTCCTCCTCGCGCTGATGCAGCGCATCACCAGCCTCGCTGCACGCCGCGAGCTCGGTGGCCTCGCGACGTGCTCACCTGGCATCTGCGCCTGGAAGAGGGGCCCGACCTGCAGCAAGCAGCCGGATGTGTGCCGACAGTGGGCGGCGATGTGCGTGCGTCCTCCTGCGCGTGCTTTCACCGGGGTGTCCGGGCCCGCAGCGCGAGGCCGGAGGTTGTGCAAGCGGAGGTTCGTGTTCGCCGCTCAGAGACACAGACTGTTCGGCTCGCAGCCGGCCGAGCCGCCGGGGAGCTCCGCCGGGCGGCCCGGTGTCTCCGTGGTTGGCATCCCGGACCCGATCACGTGGATCCGGTGCAAAGTTATCATGTATCTCGTGGATCTGCACTTTGAGTTAGACTTGAACTCTGCAGAGTTTCAAACGGGAGTAAAGCAGGTAACTACTGACAGAAGAACCAGCAGGTCTTCTACTCTGCAACTGCATCAGTTCTAAACATCCGGGTAACTTTTCTATATATGTGGTTGATAGAAGGCTTCTACTGTTTGTTTTCACAGTTTAAATGGTTTCAAAGCTTCCTGTGATTCTTCAGATTTAAATGAAACAAACTGAGGTTTTGACATGGCCACGAGGGGTTTTATAGAAGCCAAACATACTAGGATAAAAGATAAATGAGAAACTAGAATGAATGAATTAGAAGATGTAGACTAAAGTTGTTTTATCTTCACATTTCTAACATGAAAGGATGAAAACACCTACAAAATCAACTGCAACTCTTAAATACCACTTTTCAGTTGACGTTAAACTAAATATTTCCTGTTGAGAAAGCGGTCTCACCTCAAGGTCTGTCCAGTAGCTGTTGGGGAGCTTTCGATCGTATTACATGATCTTCATCAGCAGGTGGAGTTTTCATAGTCACGGCCTTGTAAATGTTCAAATTTCCATTATTTCTGAGCGCTCAAAGCTGAGGTCCTTAAAGTTCTCGGGGAAAATAAAATGGAGATTCTCACTTAAACAACTGCCTTGAGCAAACTCCGTCTGCTGATGAAGATGAAGTATGTGATTGAGAGCTCCAGAGCGATCTACTAAAAGGATTTATGTCTGAAAATCAGACCCTGGGAATACCAACATTATAATCAATATCTTTCCCAACTACCATCCTTAAGATAGAGACATAAATTCCCGGCCTGGTTTGAAGCGGAGGCATCACAGTTACCACAAGAAGTGTAGCCCACCAACGCATATCTAATAATGACAATAAGGGGAAAACGACATGAGTCACTAACATCATCCACCATGATGCAGGTGAATAAATCGCCTTGTTGTTCCTCATCCATCCCAGGCTTTGGTCCACGTCTCCAACCTGATGTCCAGTGGCAGATACCACAGTCTAGTGGGGATTGTGTCCAGTGAGGTAACACGTCATGCACAGACAGTAGGCCTACATGTACACACTGGAGATCAATTCAAATGAGAAGTAAATGTTTTACCTGCTAATACTATTCAAACTTTTATTTTAAATAAACATCTTTATAATGCGTATAATGTAATTGATAACCAAAAAATGTAGGTGCAAATGCATGGCCAAGAGTCGCAACCGTCGAAAGTAGTGGATTTGTGGAGATAATGATTAATTATCGCTGTCAGTTTTAGTTTTGATGAATTCTTTTGTCATTTCAGACGATAGATTACGTCCAGACAAGGTGCCGGTCCCTCAGCGAGGCTCAGAGACAGCAGCTCGCCGTCACAATGGAGGACATTGTATTCATGCTGCCGGAAGACGTGTCCGTCGTCTTTGATAAATTTGGTGAGTTTTGGTCCTTGTGTGTTACGTGAGAACACTTGAGTGACAGAAGTGATTTCAGGACACTACTTCGTATTCCATCAGGGTTTCCTTCCAGTCCGTTCAAGTCTTCAATAACCCGAGCAAGCTTCTTGAATTTGATGACGTTGGTCAAATGTCATAAAAGTGTCCCCGCCGTCCTCCCCATGAAGGCATCGTGGACTCATAACCTCAGTTTTTTTTTTTTTTTTTTTTTTAAAGATTTCTGTCTTTTTCTCTCGCAGGTAGAAAGTTCTGCTTCGTGGTCATGAGGTTCTGGCTCCTGTCAACATATGAAGGGCCCGATGACCCCGAGGGCACGAAGATCTTCAAAGTGGCCTCCAGTGACGATGGCGGCCCACAGAGGAGAATAGTGACGGCAGTCTATGAGTAAGCACTCCGCATGTCGTCTGCACAGACGCTCCATGCGTCCAAAACCACGACTCACAATCGCATCTTGTATCATTCGGCTTTGTCGTGTTCAAATCTACAGGATTTGGAAAGCATTATTTTGGAGAATACATGTTCGGGTGGATGAGAGTTCATCTAATATTTAATGCCTCACTTGGGGAAACAGTGAAAGTGACATTTATTTCACTGGATTTATGCCACTAATACACTGGAGAGGAAGACATATTTAGAAGCACTGATTGGAATAAAAGGAAACAAAAGCGAGAGACTCTCCTATGATCCTATCTGTATTCACTTTAATACTTTAATAATGTAAGTTCAGACACACTTTCCAAATATGAACAGACACACTGTTTAGTCTGTGAAGCTCAATGGGGCAAAAAAGCTCTCAATAAGAAAATCTTTTACAAGCACAAGAGTAATCAGACCAGCTGTCCCATTACTTACATATTAAAAGTTTTCACTGATGCCAACTGGATGAATGAAATTCCTAAAATAAACACATGGCATGAGAGACGTCGTAACGTCTTGTCTTTCTCCATGCTTGATCGAATTGTGAAATAAGCTCCCATGCTGTGAGAGCGAGAGATATCGCCTTCCTCCTCGACATCTAATAAACTCACCCTGTCGCGTCTGAACGACGCCGTGAGGAACATCAATGCACACCGTCACCACACAGCTAGATGAAGCCAGCGATGTTCTGCGTTTCCGTCTGAAAAGGACCTCTGATTGCTTGTCAAAAATGTAAATGTAAAATTCTGTCACTGCATCACTTTCCGTTGTTGTGATTTGGGTTTAAAAAAAGAACCCCTGATATGATTCACCGCTGTAACAGAAAGGGGACATAATTCAACTCCCAGTGCATGTAACAGTCAAAGCCTCTTTACATTTCTCATCAGTAATCCGGTTAGTCGCTGGACCACATGGGCCGGCTGTTCTACCTAATGCCCACCTATCTAGTTAGCCAGATTCTCTTTCCTATTGTTTCAGGTCTTGAAATCCTCTCTGAGAAAAGCCTGTTACACTTCAAATGTTATCCCGAAGGCTAGCAAAACAGTTTGGCCGGATAAGGAAGCTATTTTCAGAATCCTCACCACATTGTTTTCAAGGTGAGACGAGAAGCAGAACTTAGTTCGAGTCGAGTGTCTTCCAGAGCTACGGTTCGTTTTCGCTTTGTTCTGTTCCGGGGGACTAATGTGCTACGATTGTCGCATTTGTCCCTCGGTTTCGTTTGTGTTCACGCGGCAACGTTTAAGGGCGGTAAACCGTTCTCTCTTTAGTCAGAAATGTTAGCAGGAAGATTGGCCTGAAAACACTTCGTCCACTCCGCTCCTGTTAAACACGTCGACCCCCTTTTTCCTTCCAGATTCCACCGAGAGCTGACGAGCGGAGCGTCTCCGGACTGGACGGTCACGACTGTTTGGCACTGGCACTGGAAACTGGCCGAGTGACGACGAGGCCATTTGTCCGTCACCAGGACACGACGGGGGAGGAGTGTTCGGCTGAATCGGCTGACCTCAGAACTGTGTGTTCGGATCAGATGAAACGGGACCCAGAGACATAACACCTGAAGACCTCAGAACTTTATAAATGAACCTACCTCACTACTTGAAGGTTGTCCTCAAACCTCTCTCTTGCTCAAAAAATAAAAACCTCACTCCAGATCCAGCTTTCAACCACATTTCTTGGACTTCCTCCGCATATGGGGTTCACTTTGCTGTCATGGTGATGTCACCACGTGACCTAAAGTATGGTCATGTGACAAAAGTGACCATGTATACAAACACCTGTTGTCACGTGACTGAAGCTCCGTTCTTACTGTGGGTCACATGATGACAACTGAGCCATCTCCATGACAAACTATCCACTGAGGAAGCCCATGGGATGCAGCTGAAAGTTCCAGAAAGAGCTTATAAGTGAACCTTAATTTGTTTTGGTCAAACTGCTGTTTCCAAGGTCAAGAATGAATTCTGTTGAATTTGTTGTACCAATAAATTGCTTGATCATAAGACCAAATATTACCCATGAGCCTTTATTGTACACAGGAATCTTCCCTACCCCTCACCAGGTATGTGAGCAGAGTGGTGAGAACTTAAGCTTTGTTTATACTCGCACTTCCGCAGATGGCGCGCGAGCTCCGAAACGCCTTCTCCGAAACGCCAGAGGGTTGTACAAACTAAATGTTCGGTGAAGAATCAATAATACCAGTGTAACGGGCAAAACGGCATAAACCAAACTCCCCGATGCCGAGGAGGAATTGTAATAATAACTGTGAACTCGTCTCATATTCATGAACTACTTTATTGCCTTATTACAAGCCTTGTAAAGAAAGACGTCAAGTATTACGCATTACAACGAAACAAAGGTTGAATATTCTGTGAACTATTTGGCTGCAAAATATTTTAAGCTTTTATGTGTGAACTGTTTGTGACAGTTATGTCTGAAAAGCTCAGAGCGCGCGCCAATTTACAAAAGTTCAGAGGTGCACGACCAAGCGGCGCATCCACTTGTGTGGAGCCTTCGTGAACAATGTGCAGTCCGGGATTTTGTCATTTTGCGCCTCGCGCCCGCTTCACTGCAGCAACCATGAACTACGCTTCATGCTCTTCTCTTACAGAGCTATTTGTTCCGGCTGGTTGTTGTCTGCGTATGGCATAGTGCACCTTTTTGAATACATGTCACAAAAGAAAATTCTCTTTTTGGAGGTTAACTATTTCAGAGACGGTCGACCATAGTGGTTAGAAGGAAATGACTGATACATTCCGGTTTCTCTCCCTTAATAAGTTCTGTACAGTTTCTGACCTCGACATCAGCGAGCTAATGTAAAAGCTCTGTATTAGCACTCAGCATTTACAGGTGAAGCCCTTATATTCCATACCTGTATTCTCGGCATGCAATACATGAAATATAAAAAGGGACCACATATATTAGTGTAAATGTATGAGGTACTTGTAACAACAAGCAACAAGATAATCCAGTCTCCATAGTAAGCAGGAGGGGGGCGTATGTTCTGGTACTTGGTTTTTGGCGATCAGAAAAAGCACTTTATGGATCGACAACACGAGTGGAAATAGTTGTATTCCATCGCTGCAAGCAAGAGTGACACATTCTACCAGAAAAATTGCCCAGCCGCTTAACTTCCGCTAACGCAGCCGGTGTCTGAGCCCACGGTCACTGCCAGAAACGTGTCACTTGTCAAAAAACATCCCGTTGTGAATGCTGCGTGTCATCCCATTCTGTTAGAAGCGTGCTGCAATATTATTAATGTTGACAACATATCTGACAAACAGAGGATTCTGTCATTAGCGGCTGCTAATTCATGCATAATGAAATACGCTGAGGATTATTCTAATTTTCCTGCATAGTAATATGTGGTCTGTGGAAGTTTGCGTGGGGGTATTTTTTGGTTCCAGTGGAGCATCTCGCAGAGTCTTAATGAGATTAAATGAGTGCGGTTAGCATTAGCACATGTCAATATGCTCATGGATATGGGGGAGAGCACATTAAACAATTTACCACGCCCGTGCATCACTCAGTTTAATGGAAATTAACAAGAAAACAAAAACAAAGTGGTGAATGTACAAAAAGCTAATGGTGTTTTTTATTAGTGATTTCTCTGTTTTGTAATCTGCAGACATGTGCAGCAGTCGAGGCGGCGTGCCAACCCGTTTCATTAATCTGGTTAGCGAAACAGATTGCAAACAATTCCTCGTGCCTCTTTGGAAGTCTGTGTCTGTTTGAATGTCTGCGTGCGTCTCAGCTCCGAGAAGCCATCCATTCATTTTGCCCTCTCTGTCAGAACTTTCCATTTCAAGGTTGATTAATAGAATTACAAGATGAATATATGCTTGGACATCAAACTCTGACCGAACAAATGATGGAATAACGTAGGAAGAACGTACCTCTCAGTATTTACTACGGTCACGCCAACTGTTATTGTTAAGTCCAAAGCAATCAATTAAAGATGTGACACTGGTTCACAGCAGCTTAGGTGTACCAACAAAAGATGACATGTTGCCTCCAACAAAAGACAGATGAGATGTTGACATGACAAATGAGCTGTTGCTGTGCATGAAATTATATTTTTCATTTTCATAGACATTGATACTCTATAAACAGACATGTAATTGGAACAGTTCTTTTGTTTGCTGACATGTTTATCTCTGAATTTGTGGCGTTATTAATACTTTGTGTTGTGATTAATTGAATACTTAGTGTATGTTGTCTATTGTGCAGAGAGCTTAAATAAAACACTTTAAGAATTAGTTTTCATTTGAATTGTTTTTATCTCAGCTTCAGCCTATTTACCAGTTTATTTCTGTATGCTATTCAGTCTCATGTGCAGGAGATTCTCCTGTGTGCGTTTGTAGTTTCTAAATTTGTGTTGACAGAAAACTGGTTCTAATATTCAGACCAGAAGAAAGAATGTTTGAGTCAAAACAAGTCACAACTGAGGCCTCTTAAACACAATCTGTTATTTGGAAACCAGAGCACACACGCTCTTGAATCAATCACAGAACATATTAAAGATAACGATAAACACATTCTGCTTTGTTCCAGCAATATGTGGGTTTTTGTCATTTCCCTGCATGCTAATGTGAAAAGATGTGAGAAAATATGAACCTGGTTGCTATCAGAGGAGGGTTGGTTTGTATTCAACATGAAAACCCACTCATATTATACTCCATAATGCATTATTTGTTACTTTGAACACTGCATGTAATACATCAAACAGGTTCCTAATGATGGAGACACAGTTGAAGGAGCAGGCCGGTTCTCCAGCATGTCATCACATGAGAGCAACTTGATGCCGACTAAGAATTAATTCCATATATTGAAATGTGTGCATGAGGTACAGTATGGCTCTCTATATTGTCCTCTGCCAGGTACTGCAAATAGATGCTTATGATCATTAATCTGATGTTAGCCGTTAAAGCTGTATGTGTTCCCCTTCTGCATTTATTGTTTAAAGATTCATAACCACGGTCATGATACAGTAACAGTGTGAAATAAAAGTTGATGTCAGTTGAAGAGAATAGCAGCAGTGATAGAATGTGACAGCACAAATAGATTAGGTGTTCTCAGTATTAGGTTAGGTCACATACCTAAAACAGACTCTGCTGACGCAAAAAACATTCAAATTAAACTTGTTTCTTGGGAGTTCTCATATTAATGCATCACTTCAAAGAAGCTCCCAGCTGACCCTGAACAGGATAAGCGGTTTGGATAATGGATGGATGGATGGACTTCAAAGACGTCAGATCCAAAGTAGCCGAGTTCATATGAACAACAATGTAATGACAAAAAGTGTTGTATTGCTCTATGTATAAAAATAAGTGTCCCACTTGCAAAGGCAAACAAAATTCAAAATGCATTGAAAAAATGTCTTTTTTTGTTGCTCTTTAAAAACAGTTTTTAACTTGACTCTGAGGTCACTGAGAACGGCGGTTCAAAATACAGAGATTTTCACATTATGGTTGTCATGTGAAGGTTTTGGGCGGGTAGTGGAGATATCGTTAAGACAGCGATGAGGAAACACTGTGCCAGTAAAAATATCGTGAGTATCATATTGCTTTTATTTCCTTGAGTACGTTGCGGAAAACTTCGACACAAACCTCCCCGGAGGGATGCTTCATGGACGCCAGCTTCCAGGCTTCTTCGAACGTCTCTTCAGAAACATTAACGCCCACATTCCTGAAGATCTCTGCAATCTGTGAAGAGGAAGATGAGAACGTCAATAAAAAAATATATATATATATATATAAATATTTTAATGCAGTTAAATGAATAACACTATTTTACTTTTCCAGCCCTGGAAAAAGAAACTTCCATGATATTCGTAGTTTTTTTTTGTATGACTGTACAACCCTGGATAGAGTATTTACTTACAGTAAATCTTATGTTGTCATTTAGTTGCACTATACGGTGGATCTTGTGCGTACGTACCTCCTCCTTGGTGCGAGGGCAAAAGAAGTGTTTCTCATGAACACCCCGGAGGGCATGAACCGATGGATACAGAAGGTCTACAGCTGTCGATGTATCGCCGTAGTTGTTCTTGTCAGTGACTCTCTTTATGCGTGGAGCTGGAAGGTCGCAGCGCACAGTCGGGATCCCAGAGGTGCGGCCGTCTATGGGAAGACACACCACATGGTGAGTAAGGATTTTTAGAAGAGGGGAGTGAATAGAATATAAATATGCTGAATTAGCGCTTATAACACTATAGACTAGTAGAAATGTCCACAAATAGGCCTGAACATTAGGTGCTCCAGAAGACATTAATGCAGGTTTAAATGAATATGATTATGACTCTTAGAGAAAGACAATATCTAGCTATCAACGCACATCTCTGTTTCTGACTTACTGGATGTGGGTGGATCACTGACGGACCCGATGAGGGTGTAGGAGGTCTTGAAGTGGTCGGGGGCCTCCCTCGGTTGCCTCAGGGTCCTCAGGGTCTTCAGTGAGCTGCCTGGCTTAATGGGCTCCAGGTCCTCAGGCTTAATTAAGGCCTGAGAGGCAGGAAGCTGTGCCGATTCTGACTGAGGCTTCCTCTCTGTGTTGTCTGGAGCCGTGCTGCTTTGAAGCTCTGCAGGAGACAACATAAAAAGAAACAGTTCAGGAAAATGAGCCTCCACATGTAGCCTCTGCATCATCCTAATGCAGAATTATAAAATCTTAACTGCGACGCTTTAACTACCATGACTTGAAAACTTAGGCTTCCACGTCTTTTATTGCCAAATTCTGATATTTGTGTTGTGTAGTAGTCTGAAATACTATAATAATAAATCAGCTGCATTTTAATTCAGTCTCTGAGACCCGAGGGAGGGAAATGCATTCAAATTTGAAAGTGAGGCAGAGTTTGTATAATCGATACATTACAAAGCAAAACTGACCATTCGTCATAATGCGTTGCTCTTGACTGTTGATGGGCATCTTGTCTTTCCAGTTGAGGAAGTTAGCAAACTGCAGGAAGTTGATTAGTCCGTCCTTGTCTGTGTCACAGTAGTCCATCAGGTCGTCCAGAACCGGCCTGCTCACGTCCAGCTGGAACTGACGACACACTGCCTGCAGGTCCTCTTTGTCAATCCTTCCCTTGCCCGCCTAGTGAAGCAGATACACTCGTAAAAAACATGTTGTTGTCGCTGAGCCCTTTGTGAGACTGAGATGGGAGAATTATAGTAGCATTGTTACTTACTATCACGTCTTATCTCAAACCCTGCAACAGGCTTTTCTCACAGGAGACATTTTGACTTGTCAAACACAGGAGTAACCAACGACATCTATAATCACTGCCTACATGGAAAGGACTGTGTGCTCTTATTCCATTGATTATTTTCTGATACTAAAAAATGTGTTGTGAACTTTGTACAAGGACTTGAGTGTCACTGTATTCTTTCAGGTTAAATGTGACGTTAAATGTGAATAGTTGAACGTACCTCGTCATAATGTCTGAACGCCTGCAGCAAGGAGGGGAAGATGTGGAAGTTGACCTTCTTCAGGTGGAGTTGCACTGCGCTGACCAGACTGCGCTGGCGGTCTCCACCTCTCACATTCTGGCCTGGCTGTGTGGAGTGGATTAAATCTCCAACACCTGTGCAGGAAGTGGAGAAAATGCTATTTGATAACTAAAAAAAAAAAAAAAAAAGCTCCAGTCTGTATTTTATTTGAATTTTTTTACATGAACTCGACCAAATTCATCCGCAGTGAGTTTTCCAAAGGTGTGATCTGGTGGAAGATTCAAGGTATTTCCTCTCCTGAAAAGATGGGTTTAGTGAGAGAATGAAGTTAAACGTTAAAGTATAGTCAGAGGTCACAGAGTCGGTCAGAAAAAGTGTGGCAGAAAACGTACACGTTCGTTTTGCCAAGTTGTGACGCCATCTTTTCCCTGGTCCCAGATCTCTTCCAAACAGGGTTTGGATTGTAAAACCTGCGGCACAGGGAATATAGGAATGAATACGTAGAGTTGTGGAAATTGAGAACATAGCACTTGTGCTCACTTCATTCAGCACTTACTTCTGAGTCTCCCCCAGCCAGTGGAGGGCTTTGCCAAGATTACGTCCGTCGGTGAAATGAGGTGTGGGGATCCCAAACCTGCTGTCTTTACTGTAGTGGCTACGGTCGTACTTCCTATCAATCCTCTCACCTGGAGCAGAGCACGGTGATTTTATGGGGATGAAGGCCATAAGTAATTTTTCAAGATGATCAACAAAATTTAACAAAAAGATTGTTGGTAGTGAAAGTAAAGGCGTTTTGCGTAATATACATTTTTTTTCCCCATTCTTACCAACAAAATAGGCGTTGTGGGTGCGGAGGTAAGCCTCGTCTCCCTCCTGAGCTTCCCTCTCCACCTCTTCCACTGTCTTTGAAGGGTTAATAAGCTCACGCATATCCAACCCTGAACAAAAAGGAATGGGAGACATTCAAAAGAGAACAGACTAACCATTCTCACTGTCACTATAAATATGTATAGACCTAGAACATAATCATCGGCATTTAACAGACCATTTCTTAGTTGTTGTTTTTATCTTTTTAACAAAAAAATGGTATTTGCCATGACCCTGTTGGACGAATCGCATACCTTTAACAGTCTTAACACCATATGTAGTTTTGTCATTGTACCGGGTGGGAAGTCCACCATGCTGATCACGTGACTTTCCCAATGGTGCCTTTTGAATGGAGGTGTACGTTGCTTCACTGAGCTCTTGCAGCTTCTGCTGGAACAAGGTCTTTGGGGGAGGATTTAGCAAGCTTTTGCCCTGTTGGAATCATGTAAAAATGAAGAAGTTACATCCATATTCTGGATGTGTTTGTATGCAAACACCAGTTTGGGGTTGTAAAAAGTAATTTTTACCTCTTTAACGTTAACCCACAATATGATGTGTGTGTGCTTTTGTGTGGTACTCACAGTGAGACAAGATTTGGTGCTGATGCCATGAACAAGGGTGCTGGCAACAGTTGGGTCATTGGCCTTCCCTCGGTGCACTCTGACAGATCCTGGCTCTGGGTGGATGCTGTTGTGGAATTTCCTTACCCCCGGTGGGGTGGGGGCCTGGAAAGTAAAAGATGTTGATATGGCATATGAGAGAGAATAAACATGCACCTGCAAAGCTGTCTGCCACTTTAAATTATATGTCATACTTCAGTTGTGCCAAAGCACCCAGAGATAAAACTGATAGATATGTGCACTCTATAGATAAAGATGAAGAAATTATTATCCATATTGGATAACCCGGACCGCCCTCTCCACCACCTACTGCAGGGACAGCGGAGCACTTTCTCCAACAGACTCATCCAGCTCCGCTGTCACAAGGACCGATACAGGAGAACATTCCTGCCCACTGCAATAAGACTTAATAATAAATCACCTCCGGCCAGATCAATCACACGACTATAACACCGCTACACTGTTGTTTGCTTGTTGTTTGGTTAAATCTTTGCACTATACCGTTTAGTTAGTTAATTTAGTATTATTCTATTTCATTGTATATATTGTGCATTTTTTATATTTAATATTTTTTACTCAGTTATTTGTATTGTATATATTGTGCATTTGTATACTCTGTTACTTTGATCATATGCTGCTGTAGTGAATAAATGTCCCCTTGCAGGATTAATAAAGTATCTATCTACACACACACACACACACACACACTTAAAAAATGACTTACCCTTGCAGCTTCTTGAAAGCAACATTTAACCCGGTCTCCTACAGGTACAAGTTTTCCTGCCTGGTGTTAAGAAAATATTAACATTATAGTATTCCGTGTACAGTATCGGCCAAGACAAAAAGGTTCATCAAAGGTAACATCTTAACGTGAACTGACCGTCGGTATGTTTGGACATCTATCTGTACATTTCAGTTGGTAAGAAGTATTTCCGTCCGTCATATCCAACTTTAATTCACGTGTATAGCAGCCAACCGGCGAAAAGAAAACCGTCAAATTGTAACTCTAGTTAGTTTTAACTTTCTCCTCGCGTATAACCAAATTATTCAGCTCGACGCTCGCTTGAGTGGCGCACATGTTTGGAGTTCCGTATCCTAGCAACGTCAGACCGTTCATTTCAAATGGTTAATTTATTTAAAAAAAATACTTTTTGTGGATTTAAATACTGCAATTAATGTAGGTTAGTGTCTTTAAATTAATAGTCAATCACATATATATAAAGAATTGTTTTGGTATTTCTTAATAACTAATTAATATGTATGTAAAGCACGAGACAAACTGTCTTTATTTTATTTTGTTTAATTTTAATTCCAATTTGTGGACTATTATTAAAATGCTATTATCTTGCTGAATAATAGCATTTTATTTTCTATGCCATTTAATTTTTGTTCGGAACACAGTAGGCTTCACTTTTCTGTTTTTTATTTCTGTTTTATTTTAATTTTTTGATTTTTCTAAATTATTTTACTAAATATATTTACATACATATATATTATTTTATTTATTTATTTGTTGATTTTTTATCATATCAACTGTCTCACTAAGCGTTCTGTTATTGCTATTTTATTGTCTTGCTTTTGCTGCTTTGTCTGTCAAAGCACTTTGTAAACTCTGTTTTAAAGGTGCTATAAATAAAGTTATTATTATTATTACATTGGGAATAAATCCCAAGCCTATGATTGGTCCGTAGCACCAGTACGTCATCATACGACCTGTCATCATCCTCCTTCGTACAATGCGTTAAAGGGAAGTTGAAATAAGTGTGAGAGGGACATCACGGAGGCTTTTATGACATCTAATGTGACGGTTAGCTGGTAATCGACTCTCTGAACGGACACTGACACAAAGACTGCTCTGAAGACACCATTCACAATAACTAGCCTTCTCTTTCTGGTAGGTGAGTAGCTATTATTAGCGCTAGCTAGCTAGCTAATGGCTATCTGAAGGGCTCCTCCTGATGCTAATTACATTAGCTAGCTAGCTAATGGCTATCTGAAGGGCTCATCCTGGTGCTAATAATGTTAGCTAGCTAGCTAATGGCTAAACAACGTCTGTGTTAACCAGCCCAGTGTCTATTCTCTGGCTAGATGCTAACGTTTAGCTATCCGACACTGGATAGGGCCAAGCTAGGTAACGTAAAATCATTGTAACTTAACGTTGTATGTAACGTTTGGTGAATCTGGATCAGTCGTCATGTTTATTAGATTGCCTACATTTAAACTACGTTTAATACAGGCAACAACTGCGACTCTATAACACTGATTGATGAGGGACTTCACAAAATTAACGTCATGCAGCTAATGTTAGCTAGCTGTCACTGTTAGCTGTACACACCCTAAACTGCATCATCTGTTTTGGCCATTCTCAAACGTTACGTAGATGTCAGACCTAAGCTTAGTGTGTGCGGTACTATTAGACAGACTAATGTGTTTTCTGACAGCTGACGTTAGGTAGTGGTTTGTTCTAATCTAGACATTTTGAACTTAATAGGTAGCTTTGTTGCTAACGCTAGCAGTCGTTAGCTTGCTAATTCGAGCCAGTCAACAACAACATAACAGGTTATTTGTGGTTAACTCTGTGTCGTAATGGGATTTCGACAAAGTTGACTCATTATTTTTGGACGGATGCTCTGTGTGTTCTTAGTTGGTGGCAATGAATGCAAAATGTCTTAGTTGGAGAGAGATTCTGTTGTTGTGTCGTTGTTAGTCACCTTTTAAATCTCTATCTATCTATCTATCTATCTAGATATATATATCTATATCTATATATATATATATATATATATATATAGATATAGATATAGAAAAATGTCTAACTCATCCGTGAAACATTTTCTGCCATACATGCCCAGATCCATACGACACTAATCTCCTTTGTGACGCTCTGCCTCACAAGTTGCCAGAGGCTTGTCATTACAGTTACACCAGTTGGTCAACTTTTACATTTCTAGATGTTGTTAAGTTAGTACAGGTGAGAAACTTCTGCAACTTTGGAAGCAGAAGTTCAGATGCCTAAATGTTGGGGCCACTGTCAGGCAAAATAATAAAAAAAGACTCAGCCAAACCCTAGAATGTTTTGCCATACCTGTCTGCTTGTTATGGCAGGAAACCAACTATTGTGTGCAGAGGGAGAAAAACAAAGTGTGGCTGGTAATGTGAAACTCTTGACTTTGTGTGTAGTTACCTACAGTAAATTTCCCTCCGTTGTCATCGTTTCATCCATTACATTTCTGTCCTCTGTGTTTGGACCGCTTTGTTTTAAAAGAGATGTTGTTAGCACAACAGTGTAAAACTATGACATTAAAATTCCTGAATATTTCCCCCATTCTGCAAACAAAGTGTTCATAAACATTTTAGTTTTTAAAAGACTAAAATGTTTATCTTTGTGGTCGACGATTCCTGAAATCATGTTTATCCAAATAGTCATTTTTTCATCTAAAGCATCACATGAAGTATGGTGTTAATCTATTCTGAATTCTCAACTATAGCTAGATCGGTCCGGAGTGAACAGTGCACACTTATAAATATCAGCTGCAATATTAACCAGGTATGCTGCTTTGATATATTTCATTTGCAAAGGTTATTAATGAGCTGGACAATACTTTTAACGTATTTATTTATTTACATAAAACCTAGTGTTTTCTGTACTATGGCCACTATGTTAAAGGCTCATTCACCTGCAGAGAAAATACTTACCTTATGATGAATAAGATAACTATGTTCTCATTGCTGTTTGCAACTAAAAGCTAAACAATTTAAGAAAATTGTTTCTTTGCTTGTCGTAATCATGATTCATAGTTGCAGACAATATGTTGCTTAATTTTCTAATAAACACAGTTAACCTCTATGTTTCAATTTGATCTCCTGACATTGATTTTTTGTTTCGTTTTTATGCGACGCTGAGCTTTATTTTCTCTCTCCTGCTCAGATATTTTCTACAGTTTTTCACAGTAAGTCAGCCTCCAGAAGAAGAGACCGGGCAGTGTGACATGGCAAGTAGAGGCGGAGCTACACGACCCAATGGGCCAAACGCAGGCAACAAGATCTGCCAGTTCAAACTTGTGCTTTTAGGAGAGTCCGCTGTGGGGAAGTCAAGTCTTGTACTTCGTTTCGTCAAGGGGCAGTTTCACGAGTTCCAAGAGAGCACAATCGGAGGTACGTGTCTTTGTCTTTGTTAGGCCATGATGTTGTGGTTTCTTTCCCTCTGTGAACAGGCCTGCAAAATTGCATGCAAGGACTGACATGCCTTTATTTACCCTCTTGTCACAGGGAGGCTTGCAGTGAGTCACACAGTGGAATGAACATTGAATATGTAGATCATTTTAAGGATAGAGGAGAAGGAGGTGAAATGAAGAGGAGATTAAGACTGTGGGTGTGAATATGGTGATGAAGAGGAACAGAGAGCTGCAAGAGTTATTAGGTGAATTCCTGGACGTTGTTATCTAGTTCCTGGTTTGTCCAGCAGATTACATGAGATTAAAGCAGTCAGTTATCATCTACATACTTATTGGGATACATGTTGCTTACTGGATGTCATGTGGTTGATTAAAATTCAAGGTGTTTTTGACTCGAGGGTCGCTGGTTCAATCCCCAGAATGGCAAATGTGAAGTTCTGGGTAGTTTCCAATGGGAATGTGTGTAACTGACTGAATATGAAAAGGGAGTTTGCCTGTCAGTTAATCCACCCAGAGTAAATACGAAAATCCCACCCTACTTAATGCTTCAGCACCCATCCAGATTATCAGTATAAAACATGTTTGATTCACTCGGGTCCCGTTTTCCAAACGTGGACTAAGTCAACCAGATAATCCTGTGTGTGTGCGTGCGTGCTTGCCTGCCTCCAGCACTGGTCTTTAAATGATCACCTTCACAGAAACATGTTTTGTGGATCTCCAGTAAACACATTTGTCAGGGGTTCCTCTGCTTTGTGCACCTGCAGCTGCCTTCCTGACTCAGACGGTATGTTTGGACGACACAACGGTCAAGTTTGAAATCTGGGACACAGCTGGTCAGGAGCGCTACCACAGTCTGGCTCCCATGTACTACAGAGGGGCCCAGGCAGCCATCGTGGTGTACGACATAACAAATGAGGTGAGTTCGGGTTGCCAGGTTTTCATGCCATGCGGTTGCAGTTATCGACGTCGCTCTCACTAAGCAGAGATGGGACAACATTGTTGTGAATGATGAAGAGGTAGAGGGGAGGGGGGGTTCCGCTGAGAGAGAAAGAAAAACAGACACAAAAATATAATGAATGTTCCTCAGTGACAAAGCCAGCAGCAATTCTGTTCAAACTAAGTTTTAGAAAAAGTTTAGCATGTAGCCCAAGTTTTTTTCTTCCTTGTTTGAACTGCATAACTTCCTAATGGCAGTATCACCCTGCCTCCCACGCTGTACAAAATGCTGCTCCCACTGTACGGTTTATTTCATTTTTCATCAAAAGCATCATTTAATTGTTCCCCTGTTGTTGTGTTTTGATGAAAAGATTAGCAAAAGCCCAGCCAGCCGCCCTGGGAAGCCTCCTGTCGTCCCCATCTTTCCCTCATATGGGTCTCATTGTTGTTTCTCACTAACCGAGTCATCCTGTTTTGCTTGCCAGGAGTCATTTGTACGGGCGAAGAACTGGGTTAAAGAGCTTCAGAGACAAGCCAGTCCAAATATTGTAATAGCTCTGGCTGGGAACAAGGCGGATCTCGCAAGCAAGAGAGCACTGGACTTCCAGGTTTGTGTTCTTATTGATCAATTGTGGAAACAGAACCAGAAAAATCACAACGCGTATATGTCTGTTAAAGCTAGCGTAAAAGATTCAGACTGATAATTGGCCTTGGTCCTGCCTACTGTACCTTCTCCCACATTAAGTGTTTTGAGCATGCAAACTGAGTGACTAAAAGTCATTTTAATGAAGGATTTCCTGGTTTCACTTTCATAGGATGCACAGTCATACGCAGACGATAACAGCTTGCTTTTTATGGAAACATCTGCAAAGACCTCTATGAACGTGAACGAGATATTCATGGCCATCGGTGAGTTTCTCTCATATCATTTTTTTTTTTTTTTTTTTTTTTTTTTTTTTCTCCACATGAAATAAATCCAAGCCGAGCTATTCACCACCTGCCTTGTTGCACCAGCTGTGGACAGACAGCGGTGCATTCTGGTTGCTCTCCTCCACCCATACATTTGGGAAAATGCACACGTATTTGCATGCAGGCGATCACTGTGTCTGATGAACTGGACCGATGACAAAAGGCCACAACAGGATATGAATAATGGAGGCCGGGTTAATACTGAAATGAAATGTCACGGCCCATAATGCTCAACAAGTACTCGCCACCCTTTTTGGAAACCTCCCCGGTGGCTGTTGAAGTAATGGTGCATCTTGTCAGACCTCGTTGACTACGTCTCTCAGGCAGAGACTAGTCATGGCCTCCAGCTGGTCTGGAGGACACCGAGGCCTTTGAAGAGCGCAGCCCTTAAACTCAGCATCTGAGAGCAGGAGCTCCATTTGAATTTAAAGTCCCGTCAGCCTCTTGTGTGACGCCCATACTTCACCCACTCAAATACTGATGTGTATATATATACATCCAGCATCGGTCCGGCTTATTCCTCTGTTTTATGATTTTATTAGTTGTCAAAAACTGTACAAAAAAATTAGTCTGAACATGCCCCATTCTCAAATTTAAAACATCCATTCAGACCCAGTCTATTCTGCCCAACCACAACCGTTAGACCGGCTTTCATTTTTTGTGACCATAAGTGACACAAGAGGGTGGAGTTCAGTACAAGGAAACACGAAATAAGACATTTTTAGGCAAACAAAATGTTGCATTTAACTTTGATGAACTGAAAACACTGTGAAGGAGTTAAAGTTGTGAAATGAAAACATGGATGACTCCCACACCAACACTGTTTACTCTCAATGGTAATCATTTACTAAATGAACATCATGCTGTAATGAAGAAGCCTGAAACTAGAGATTGAGACCATAAACTCATGTTTACAATGTTTACTGAGGTAATAAATTATGTGAGAAGTAGAGTCATTTTCTCATACAACCAGAGGACTCGCCTCCTGCTGGTCAGAAGAGAGAACACACGTTAAAAACACTTCCGCATTGGCTTCACTCTTCAGAACCGGAGGTTGCCGCCTGGTCTGGTCCCATCTTTACAAGTTGAGCAGTTGGGTCTAGGGGACAGAAATCATAGACCTTCTCTGAAAAATATTTGAATAACCTCTGTTGTGATGTAGACCGCAGACTGGAACCAGAACAATGAAAAGTACAATGAAGTGACCGTACATGTAATTTACTAACTCCTAAGAATAGCTTCTTGGTGACGTCGTCACTGATCTTGTTGCCGTGTCATTACAGCAAAGAAGCTTCCCAAGAATGAGCCTCAGACAGCCGGAGCCAGCAGCGGGCGGAACCGGGGGGTGGACCTGACGGAGACGGCTCAGCCCACCGGCCGTTCCTGCTGCAGTAATAACTAACTCTTCCTGCTCACCCCACACACACACATCCTCTGCCCCTCCTCCTCCCTCCCATCTGGACATCGGGCTCCTTGGCTTCTTGACGTCAGCCTCACTCCCCTGGAATAGCTAAAAGACTCTGTATAGCTGCATTTCTAATACTTTTGTTTTTGTTTTTTTGATGTTCTTTTTTTTTTTTTTTTTTTTTTTTCAACTTTTTTTTAAGAAGTGTATATCAGTATAATGGATGCATGTATCACTACAACGCCTAAAAACACATTTTTATCTCTTACTCAGTTTGGAAGACTAACCCACGTTTCAGAAAGACGAGCGAGCGACAGACCTGCGAGCGTGTGATTGCGTGATCTGCTGATGAGAAGGTGTAGCCTCATTTGTCACTTCACAGGGTCGACTGGGGTGCGAATGGTGTTGTGCCTGTGATGCTCTTTGTGCGCGGGTTAAGTTACGCTCACAATCAGAAGAAACCCAATTGTTCCCACCTCGAGATGCCGGCTGTGAGGCATCGTTGTATTGAAACGGTGCCAGGAAAGACCCCCCCCCCCGCTTGTTACACAGGAAGACATCCTCATCCAAGGCTCCTAATGCGAAGGGCGGAAGATACTTTCGGTACTGTCCAGTTTGTAAAAAAAGTTGGAAAATACACAAGTCTTTTGAGAGTATTGAAAAGTAAAAAAAACTGCCTTGATACACATCTAGCTTCCTATTCTGCGCGACCATCTGTAGAGCAATATTGCCGCACGTCAACAACAAAGTCTTTGCGGTGTGGAAAACATGGAGTTTTGTAAAGATCGGGAACCAACACCTTCAGGCCAACATGGCGGGATTTTTTTCTAAATTCTATTTTAACAAAATCCTTTCATGTTGCCTGAAGGTCCGTCACATTTAGACACTGATACGGTTTCACGTGGGAAATAAAATCAACAGGAAACTGCTCAAAGAAGACTTTGAGCACACGATGTTAAACTCTTTGTTCATCCGCTCTGTGTCTGTCCAGGCCAGTAGGCAACCTGCATCGATTTGGGTGATCTCAATCAAATTAGGGGGGGTCGTTTTTAGAATACAGTTCAGGCCGCACACAAACAGAATATTGGACTACCACCCATTGTCTGTGGAAAAAAAAATATATATATATATCCTGAAATGTTGTTATAAGGTGCAATGTTGTCTTCTTCCTCCTTTAGCACCGCTTGCAGAGCTCCTGAGCTCACAAGGAAATTGTCTAGAGATTCCGAACAATTGTACAGTTCACTATAGTTTTCTTTTTGCTTCATACCAGACCGTGTCACAAACTGGTCACATGTTAAGCAGTGGTGGTCTCTCTTAGGTATATGTAGTGGTCTTAACAAAAAAAAAATCCCCTCCCTGGTGTCTTGTTACTTTTCTCAGAAAGGGTCCATGGTCATGTTTGAAAGGAACTTTTATGGCATTGCACAGTGTTGATCATGTTTTAATTAATGACTTGCCCTTCGATTTTATATGACGGACTGTGTTGGACTTGCTAACCTACAGCTATAAGCGGGTGGCATAATTAACCTTACTGGTGGTCTCTCTTACGGCTTAATGAATTTTGATGATGTAAAACAGCATTACTAGTGATGGGCTGATCAGTTTTGAGTGTCTGAATACAACTTAATAAATTCAATAAAGAGGTCTCTTGTACGCCCTTTTTGCTCTGAATGTGTCGGCGGCATCGCATGTGGGAGGAGTTCAGATTCTGCTTTTATTGAAACCAAATTCCATGTTACTCACTGAAAGGCCAAACTTTAATTTAACCACAACTTGGATGCTTTTCTTTAATTACTAAACTGTCGTCCACAAAATCCGTACAGATCTGAGCTTTAAGGTTCTTGTGAGTATTTCTAACTGGAGCTGCAATAATTAATAGATTAAAAGACAATAAATCACTATTTCATTTTAAGACTTCATGCTTCTGTGGAGCTGTATTCAGGCACAGCGCATGCTTTCAGCTAAATGCTAACGTGTTATGTTGAGCAGGTCATTCTACCACGTCCACCATCTTAGCTTATCAGGTTAACGTTTGCTACATTTGCTTATTAGCACAGGTTTGGTAGAGGCTTATGGGAATGTCATACATTTGGAAGACATTTTGTCATAAACAAGTTTGACCTCATGCTGGTGAAGAAGACGCATGGATGTGTGTGCCTCACTTCATTGCAATTCATCCATCAGTCAACACATGACACATGATTGTTTTGGACAAAACAAGCTTTTTCAAACTAATTTTTAAATCAAAGTGGTCAAAGTTGATAGAGAGGCTGAGATAATCCCACCTTGAAAAATACTGGATCCTACAATTCCCATGATGCAACTTGATTGCTACTTTTTGTTAGACCCTTGCTGCATGGAAAACACCCTCCAGGGTTTAGGTGTGAGTGAACTGAAGAGTAAAGTCGATGCAGCGCTACTTCTGTCCTCGTTTCTCTGCTCTCTTGGTTGAACTCTGTTTCTCATGTATTTCCACCATCTGCCTCCTCTCTCTCAGCTCTTGGCTGTGTTCCATCCCGACTCTTCACACACTCCTCTGAACTCTCAACCGGGCTGATCACATGTTTGGCCAAGACTCAAATCTCAGTGCAGAGATGACCTCCTACTCCTCAATTAGAGTCCTTAGAACCTCGTTAACAGCCTCCTCATCCGCCCACTCGGCTGTGGAGTGGACGGAAAGAGGAGTCCTGAGGCTACGCGGCACGGGGTTCAATACCCGATTAAACTCCTGGTCTCCCTCTCCTCGTGGTCGCCTTGATGACGTCCCTCAAGAACAGACGGTGCTTCTTTTTTTTAATTTGATATTCCAAAGATCATAGAAGACTTGTGGAATAATAGATAGCACTACAATAGGAATGTTGATGTGGAATAATAGATAGCACTACAATAGGAATGTTGATGTGATCTAAATCTACAGAACAGCTACTAAATGGACGTCGTGGTACGATTGTTTTCATTGGCACAAATACACTTTGAACCTCAACACTAAAACAGTATGTATAGTAGTATCACAAAGATTACAAATACATGTAGTTAATGACATTCACAGACATGTTTCTACTTTTCATTATAAGTTATGTGGTTCAGTGCTTTCCCACATCGTGCCCTTTTTATTATGTTGAGAAGCCGCTCACCACAGAGATGCACAAGGGAACTTTCTGCCCAAATGCTGATGGCATCTTTCTTTCATCACAGCGGAGCTTCGTGTTGCCAGAATGGCTTAAAAACTAAACGTTAGTCGGACCCTGTGAGTCACTACGTCGCATGCTGCTTCGCTGAAAGAGCTGCTTGTCTACTTTATCCAGAGAGTTGAATCACAAACCCTGTGATGAAATGTCCAAACATAAGATGAACACCGACCACAGCTTTCGATTACAATCTTTCCAGTGGGAGATTATAACCCCTGATCTTTCCACACTGTCAATAAGGCGGGCCGGCTCTGTGCCACCACTCAGAGGGATCCTGGAAATGTAATGTCTGCCCGGTGACGCTTTGGCAGCCTTGTCCTTGTTACAGTCATGCCAATAAAGCATATTGAATTGAATTTGAATGTGGTTCATCGTATGGAAAGGAGTAGCAAAGGCTTCTCCCAACACTGTTTTATAGTGTTTTTAACTTTAACTCACAACACTGGTGCCAACAACTTATCACAATTAGCCGTTAAGTGAAGTGTCACAGTAAAACAGCTTTACCATGAATGTACTTTACTTTGAGGTACAACTGCTCTGCTGTATTTGCTGTTCACAGTATGATACTGCTATTGAATATTTTATATTGTAGAGGGAGCCGGGACTCCAAAAACGCGTACTTGTTTCCAGGTTGTAGGACTCATGGACGGACGGACGGATGGAACCACTCATCACGTTCTGCACCATAACTGTAAAGCAATTATGGTTGGGTCCATCTCTGTTCGTCTGAAGATATAAAAGTCTTTTAAACTGAATTCAGCTTTCAACGGTTTCCCTGGCAACAAAATTAATTTTGGATTTGTGCAGGATGTGACTGTGTGCAGCCTGCCAAAGAAGAGGACAAAGTGGGAACAGTGGGTGTTGTGACATTTTAGTCACAAGCCTGCAAACGAGGCGTATCAAAGTTTTCACTTATAAAGTGTGAAAAGTTTGGACGTATCAAAGGATCTCATGACTCAAACTGCACTCTCAGTACTCGGTGCTGTCTGTCAGAGTTGATGGTGATTGTTTCAGTTCCAAATCTGGCCCTTCACACTCATTGACGGAGCTCCTGAGGTAAAAGTGGAAAATACTGCATTTTTTAAAAATGTGACAGGCACCAAAAATAACACTCACTTTGTGAATAAACTTTTCCCTCGGCAGTATATTAGAAGGTGACAACACTGTGTGTTTAAGATGCCAAACACTGAACGTCTAGTGGATTTGAATCATTCTGGCTTTCAGCCCTCTGAATGGAAATCCAGAGCAAACCAGCAAGGCCTCTTCTGAAGACAGAGTTGCATCATCTTTCACTGATTTATCACCGCTATAAAAACTCTAGAACGCTAGAAAAAAAATAAAAATTTCTTGCAAAGCTACATTTTTCATAAGATGCATTAAGCACACTGAATGTTAATGTGTTTGGTTTCTTTCACATAGTTCACTTCACTTGATGTTGGCGGTCCCTGTGGACAAAAGTGGTAGTGCTTTTGAGCACCAGAGTCCCTTTAGAAAATCTCTCATTTCACTGCAGCTGGGTCTGACAGTCTGCCCCCTGGTTCTGGTTCTGGTTCTCCCGTGCCTCCCTTCCCCCCAGCAGGCCCGGCAATACGGTCTGTAATTACGTGGGTCATATAGAGGCATCAGCATTAAATTGAGACCGTTTCATAACCAGTTAAAAGCTCCTCACAGTAACTTTAAAGGAAGACATTTTGACACGCCACAGTTAGAAAAGCACAGGTGTACATAATAAATGATTACTGAATTTGTTTTAGCTGCTTCAGTTCCAGGGTCCTGGTTCTGTGCATGCTGGCTCACAATCACATTCTCATGGTTTACTGGAACACTTGAATCAAACAGAGCCCTCGTTAATGTTATCAGAAGCACCTGTGCTTTTTCCTACTAAGACGAGGTGCATTAAGTGCATTTAAGTACATCACTTCATGTGACAGACTCCACCCATGAGGCCTTTAAATCAGGCCTGACACCGACTCCCTAAATATAAAGACAAATATATCTCCAATTGGTCTTTCAACCGTGTACACTTTATCAATCATAACCGGCTTTATTGAAACTCAGGATTCAATACTTGCAAATGCATTTCCCCCTGTTTGCCACGTGGGGGCAGCAGCGCACTGTGCTAACACAGCATTCCCGTCAGTCCATCCATCTCTGGAAAAGAAAATGAAAATCTTTGCAAAAATAGCCCAGAAAATAACATCCATCATACACCCTCATAAAAAAACTCATGTATATGCACTTAAAATGTTGACCTGCTGGATTGATAACCACTTTTCACTGCACATCAGTTTTACTGTCAACTACATAAAAATGTCAAACCTTGAGTTGAGCGAGTGGCGAGAGGGATGATGCAGCATTATGTTTTTTTCCAGAGTAGTTCAATTGAAGAAAAAATAAATACATTTTGTGATAAAGAAATCAGAGAACACGATTATATTGGGGCCATTTGCACTAAAAATGGCCTGAATGCACATGTTTAAGTCTTTGAATGCAATTCCTGCACTGACAGGGAAAAATAGAGGAAATATGGAGAGAAGTGAGTCCACTTGGTGCCATGTCCTTTAGGGAAATCAGACATTTACATTGGCAATAATATGCCATGTTTTTATCAAGTTTTGGTTCTCTGCCCTTATTGCATATCATTTTGTTCAAACAAAACGCTGTCGGTGCTGCCAGAAATATAAAACGCATGACTTCATGTCTTTGTGTTTAGAAATATAAAAGCTTTCATGAACTGCCAAGTCTGAATCTATATTTTTGATTGTCGGCCCACGCCAATTTCCGGTAGGCAACAACCTCTCCACTTAACAGAAAATGGCAGGTAGCATCAAAGGGCTGGCTGGCTGGCTGCATGTCATGTGTCGAGGCACAACACGAGGTTTAGAGCTCCTGAAAGTCACGGCCGCTGCCCGCCGTGATCTCACCTGTCCTGGCTGTCGCGCCGTAACCCTGGGACGTCGCCACAGCGACAGCCTCATTACAGTGATAACTTGTCCGGCTGAAAACATGTCCGCTATGTTTTTTGTCCTCGTTGATGTTATGATGTGCAGTGTTCCGGCGATGGCCGGGGGAGGGGTGGGAGTGGGGGAAGGGAGGAAGGGGTTTGGCGGACAATTCTGCAAACTGTAAACTCCCGAGCTTCAGACTCCGAGATGTCTTTCATCCACGTCCGCCCTGCAGGCTGACGAAGGGGCAGAGGGAGCGGGTTACCACAGCGACACACCGCAGCATCCCCGGCTCATAAGCCGGTGTGGTTTAACACTATGTGGCTGATGCTTATCTGATCCACCCAGCTCTCCGGTGGCTCACACCTTGATAGTAAACAGGTCATATGGTGTTATATGCGCATACAAAAATAACATCTTCAAGCAAGGCTTTGATATTGTATATTGTCCTTTGATATTTGATACCTTGTTATTACAAAAATAGCAATGCCCGTCGTGAAGTTTCCATCTG